GGATTTCAGGTGAGGGGAAGCCACGGGAAGCAGTGGGCCCAGCTTGTGAAAACCACAAGGGGACGACAGGCCCACAGATGTCCGGGCAAGAGACCACGAACTGAAGGATACGATAGAACAGCTAAGGCCCCAAGAAGAGACGAGACTCTTAGGGAAATTAAAACATTTAAAAGCAGTCACGTGTACAGAGTAACTGGGGGAAAAGCACACACAGAGGCCAGGGACGACATTGTCCCAGAAAAGGACTGAGCAAAGCAGGGCAAAGCCTCATCTTCCCCCAACTAAAAAATCACACACAGGTTGCGTACTGTGAGCCGTTCTATCCTGGACTATGCGTAGTGTGGTAGGGAGATCAGTGCCGCTGCTCCCAAAGATCAACATCTAATCCCTGGGACAGGTGAGTACGTCAGGTTTCATGACAAAGGGGAACTAAGGCTGCAGATGGTTGCTAGCCAGCTGGTTTTAAAATAAGAGGAGTGTCCTGGCTCATAGTGCTCGGTCAATGTAAGCACAGGACTTAAGAGTGGAAGAGTGAGGCAGGCGGGGGGATCAGGATCATGTGACATGAGAAGGACCTGCCATTGCTGGACTCGAAGGAGGAGGAAGGGCCACGAGCCAAGGAATGCAGGCGCCTCTAGAAACCGCAAAAGGCAAGAACAGGGCTTCTCCCCAGAGCATCCAGAAGACCCCACCCTGCCCACACCTCAATTTCAGCCAGTGAGACCTGTCTTGGACTTCTGACCTTGAAAACTGGAAGATAATGAATTTTGTTGCTTTATGCCATAGTTGCAGGATTTGCTACCACAGCAATAGAAAATAATACATATAGGATGTAAAAGATATTATTTTCCAATCCACATTTCTTTCAGTTGGAATTTTGGGAACACTCCCTGCGTGTAGCAGGAGGCAGGGTTTCTTGTCATTTATTATTTGCCCTGAAAGTCCCTCAGCAGGTCCCAATGCTCCTGCATATGCAATGAGTCCAGCAGATTCCAGGAGGAGTTCCTTGACTCTGCTGGGGGAGCAGCCCAGAAAATTTCACAACAGGAGCAATGTGCACGCATGTGTGCATGTTTGTGTGGTGTGTATGGTGGCTGTGGTATGCATGCATGTTGCTTACTGACATGTGCTGGTTAGGAATTTACCAAACGGGAAGAAGAAATTAGGTTGGAGAGCCAAAGACCAATAGTGAAGAGTTGTTTTATTTCTGTATTTAACAAGGACAGGCATGCTGAGGCCCCGTGGCGGAGCACAGCAGACACAGCAAAGATTGTGCCCAGCAGCCCAGCCATCAGCTACCTGCTTTGCTGCACGACACAGCTGTCCACAGTAGTGAAGAGTTGTTTTATTTCTGTATTTAACAAGGACAGGCATGCTGAGGCCCCGTGGCGGAGCACAGCAGACACAGCAAGGATTGTGCCCAGCAGCCCAGCCATCAGCTACCTGCTTTGCTGCACGACACAGCTGTCCACAGTCTGGCAGGCAGTGCCCCTGACCCATCACACAGCCAGGCTCCTCATGGGAGCACACACATATGCACAAACATGTTCAAAATTGTGCATACACAAGTGTGCTCACACACTACACTCACATACTCACACTTATGCAAGTACACATGTATGCATGAACTTATACGTCCATACATGCACACATGCACAGACACGCACAAGCTCATAATGCACACGTGCACACAATGCTCACATGCACACTTGTGCACATACATGCATGAACTGACACACCTACATATGCTGCACAGATGGGCACACACACGCACATATGTACACACACACACACACACACATACACACGGCTCTGAGTTTGGAGAGGAGAGTGATGCTGCCCCACCTGTCCGTGAGGTGCCACATGGTAGCAACGGAGGCTGGCAGTGGCCTGAGGACAGTGGGAAGGGATAAAGGGATAAGGAATTTACTGGTAACAACATAGAAAGTCCAAAGGTTATTGTTATGCTAGAAAAATATTAAACTTCATAAAACCCATATTTATTCAAAAAATCTATTCAGAAAGTCTGGAAAAGCATAATAAATATCTGTACAGTGGCCACCATCGCAAACATGAAATATAAAGCGTGAACATAAAAACGATCTGTAAACATAACTGCTGAGCTTGTAAACAAAGTGCTGGGTCGGAGGAGCTGGGGTCGGGGGAGTGTGCGCGCAGCACAGCCGGCCGCGGACGCGCCCTCTGCCTCTTCCTTACACACAGGGACCTGCAATGTCCTTCTCCATTCTAGAATTTGAATGTCTCTTGGAAAGGCAAGGGCAACACAACCATGTCTGGAGTAGAACAGAGTGCAAATCACACTTCATCGTGTGCTTGAGAGAATCAGTAAAGCATAAGGTAAAAATCGCAGTGGGCAGCTTTAGGAATAACACCATTTAATGAACAATACTGGCTAACATTAAGTGCTAGGATCACTGAAGAAGTCAAACAATCTTCCAAACATCAGTACACGCACAATTAGTTTAAAGTCATGTACAAATCTGACCTAAGGGTGAAAGGGGGGGAAATCCTCAGCTCTTGCCCGCGTTTGACTTTGGGGGTGGAATTGGCCAAGCTCTCCCATCAATGGGCTGCAGGATGGGGGACTCTGTAGGGTGGCGCCATCTAGCGGTGGGCTAGGGAGCTCGAGACCTCGGGCTCGGTTTTCTCATGACAAGTCCTGCGGTGTTTAGGATGCAGCCGGTTATGACCTTCTGTGTGAGCAGGGCGAGCTATTTAACTTTCTGGGAAGTCTACGTCATTCGTGCAAACCACACGGAGTCTCTCATTACATGTGGAGGTGAGCTGAACGGGTGAAGTGAAACTTGTCATCACACCTTCATGCACACATCAACCGCTGCTGATAAGGCCCGGTCACTTGCTGTTCACTTGAGTTTTGAAAGTTTAGTGTAAAATATTATAACTTCTTTAGGCTGACTTTCTGTTGAAGGATTTCAAGTATCATTTTGTGCTGGATAAGGGTGGGAACGTGGAGGGGTTCTACAGACACTCGGCGAGCAGGTGACCCATATCGTGCTCTGCTGTCGCACGGCTAATGTGGTTGGGGACAGTCTGGTGTGCCGGTGAGTCTCATCGGTCCCTGTGGCATGCTCAGTTCAGAACCTAAGGCTGTGCAAATGGGCATGACTGAAAAAGACAACAGGCCGGCACGATGTGGCCCATGGAGAACACGCCACGGCCGCCTTCTCAGCGATGATTTCTCAGTCACTCCTGGGGTCCCCTCCCCTTCCTCCGTCAGAACTTATGGACCATAAGCAAACACACACACGTGCAAACGATCCCAGCCAAAGCCCGGCAGCCGATGCCTGCGTAGGGAGCAGATAGATGTAACACCTTTGTACACTTCTAGGAGAACAAAATCTGAGACCTAAGAACTATCCACTTTTTTCTAAGTTTCTATGAAATGGAATAATTCAGACCTAAAAAATGATCATAGTGGAAGTCATTTTAGTCTTGGGAAAAAGCATTTTCTATTGAGAAAATATAAGAAGTGCCCAACGGACACTATAGGAAAACAGGTACACGATCTGTCCCTACCTTTTATATTTTGTGGTTCTCTGGGGAAGAAAAATCATGAGATAATTAAAGCTTCTGAAACGAGTTTATATTTTAAGGTCTGAACATAATTAGACCAAGCTAAGGGGTTATTTTTCAGAATGCAGCAGTCTTTGTTTGTGTGTGTGCCAGAGCAGATGGAGATGGAGGGGAAAAGGAAACAATGAAATACCGGCTCCTTAGTGAAAACCTGGCTGTGACCAACGTGGGCCCCCCGTGCCCCACCTGGCACACAGGGGCTACTCCTCAGCGGTGCTGGGGGGAAGGCGCTGGTGGCAGTGCGCGGGGAGCCAGCTGGGTGGGCCCCTGGCTGGGGGACCGCTGGGAGGGCATCCTCGGCATCCGTATGGGAGGCTGAAGGGCATGTTCGCTCTCTGGGCAGCGTGCAGGGCCTGCCCAGGAACCTTCTCACATGATTTTATTTAAGAAAGGACAGCACAGCATGGCCCACGCCTGTGTGCACAGCACACCCAGGGCAACATAAAATACCAGTGAAATGTCAATTTGAAAACAGATCTATGCAACACAAACACACAACGCAACACAAAAGCACAGCTTCTACAAAGTGCATCACTACTGTCCGTAAGGCGACCTCAGCTTCCTCCCTGCCACCCCTGCCCTGGGGGGAGGGGGCCTCTGGGCTCTAAAGCATCGGTGGGAGGCGGCAAAGCCCAACTTTTCCAGTAGCTGGTTTTTCTGCAGACCAGAAAAACACAAGCGAGCACAGCAAACCCTGCTCTGGGTCAGCACACGCAAGCTGCCGCGGGCTCGGCACGGCCACCGCCACTGCTGGAGCTCTCGGAGAAGCCTCTGGTGGCCCATGACTGCGACAGTCACGGCCCCTCCAGGGGAGGGCCAGGACATGGCAGATACAGCTCCACCTGGCCCCTTCCCGGAGCCCCTCTCGATGCTGTGAAGTGTAGCTTTCGCGACAAAGCCATGCTACCCCGATTCTTGGCTGGGCTCTTTCTGCTCATTCAAACCTGTGACAGGAAAGGCGAGGCCACCCAGCACCCCGGTCAAAAACTAGAGGCGGCGGTGCGGTAACAGCTCTTTGGATTTCTTTGGACGGGACCAGGCGTCCCCTCCGGGGTGCCACAGTGAAAGCCCCACATCATTCCACCTGCCAGAACGCCAGAGTGCTGGTGGCTCCCGCCCTCTGACCGCCCATGACACCTCCTCCACTGACACTGTCCTACCAGGACCACGAGGACGCCTCTGCTGGGAGGAGAACCGAGGGACTCGCTTCATAACGGGAAAAATCTCTCCCCATAGAAGTATAAGCTGTGACATGATAAGACCTAAGATTCTGAAGGAGCCTCTAGGATCAGCACGGTGGCACAGTGGCATTTGGTTTTGCTCAGGATGGAGGAGGCAGGTGCAGGGTTGGCACAGCAAGGCTCTGAGACGTCACTGGTCGGGATCTGTGCCAGGGCCGAAAAAGAAAACACACAAACGGCGAAGGCGGGTTCTGCCTTCATGCTGGACGCGTGGTCACGGCAGGGTGCCCGTGAGCAGGATCCGAGTCCGGCGCCTGCGAGCCCAAGAGGGCGCTGGGCTGGGGACGCATGGGGCTGGCGACCAGGCGTCTTGCTTTCCTGCTATAACCGCGTGGATGTGAGTCTCTTCATGCCTCGGCGCTGGGCCAGGTTGGATGACAGCACTGGCTCTAGCCGCGGAGCTTGAGGTGTTCTGTTCAGAGCGAAGTAGGTGGCAGCCACAGCACCCTGCAGAAGAAAGGGGAGGACAGGGTGTGACCACAGCATGCATCCACCCTGAGAGTGAAGCTGAGGCCACGGGACCCTGCTCAGCCTTAGTTTCCCCTCAGGTAAAGAAAGCGCAGAAAAAAGACCCTCCCACCCCCAGGATTAGTGGAGTGTTGTGTGTACCAAGCCTGCCGCGGTGTCAGCAAGCAGTGGGCCCCCATCAATAATGGTGATTTTACCCTTAATACTATATCCACCTGCCATCCCAGCCCAACCGCGCCTTGGGGGATAAACATCTCAGACTTATGCAGAGACCCCAGGACGAGGCCACATGATCCCCTGCACTGCTGATAGTGAGGCCAGGTCTGTGCTCGGGGCCTGTTGGATCCACAGGAACACTCACGGCAATGCCATGACCAATCCTAACTGGGTAACTCCCATTCCTGCAAGTGTGGGGACGGTCTACACTTCTCAGAAGAGGGGTCCTACCCAGGGTGCAGGGCTGCCTGACAGAGGGATGCTGCTCTGAGTGTAAGTCACTGTGAGATGAGGACATTGCAAACCTCTGGTCCAGAGCTGAGAACACTGGAACTTTGAGTGCTACAGCCATGGCCCTCCCGCCCTCCACCACCAGAGAAGTTGTAAGTCATTCAGGTGGGCCTTCTGTGGCCCTCTCCTGCTCCCGCTCCCCCATCCTGCTTCCTTATAGCTCACTGGTACCTTCACCAGGTGCACGTCCTGTCTGCTGAGCTGGTTTTGGGACAGGTACTCTCTGTTGACAATCCACGGGTGTTTTAGCACTTGAACTGCTGTCAGGCGCTGGTGAGGGTCGACGTGGAGCATCTTGGATACGACATCCTGTCGGGAAGGTGGAGAGGGAGCGAGGGGGTGACCGGAGCTGCGTCAGACAGCCTCTCAGCCAAGTTCCTGCCTCCCTCCCACGGCCAAACCCACCCTTGGTTCTGAGAGCGATTCTTGGCATTTGGGGGTCCAATGTTTACTTTCAGGTTTATAAACATGTGAATGGTTTTTAAGTTTCAACTATCACCAACTTAGCAGTTCATGGAAGGCTTACCTTTTATTAAAGATTTTACGTCTAAAGAGAAATTGAATGTGGAAATGTTAGCTAATGCGTGTAAATTGCTGAAATGGTATTTTAGTAAAAATGATAACTTTTCAAAGTGAGAAGCTGAAATAATGAACATCCCACAGACAGAAACCAGTTCATGACAATGTGCAACATAGCTACATTTTTTTTTTTCCTTTTTGTCTTTTTTTTCGTGACCGGCAACGGATCGCAACCCTCAGTGTCGCGCCCGTACCAGACCGGGACCGGCAACGGGATCGCAACCCTCAGTGTTGCGCCTGCACCTCGCTCAGCCAGTGAGCCGTGTCTGTATGTGGGATCCGAACCCTCGGCGGGAGCGCCGCCGCGCTCCCAAGCGGCGCACTGTAGCAGTGCGCCACCGGGCCGGCCCCAACATAGCTACATTTTTATCATGACTATCCACAAATATTTACTACAAATCATCACTAACCACGAATCTACAATCTGTGGCCATCACCTATGCCCAATGGGCGCATGTCTAATAAAGGTAATTTTCTTATATGATTGCAAAGTAGTAAAGATAAAAAAAAATTTTAACATGGGTTTAAATATAGGGCTCCACTTCAGACATGCATGTTAGCAATACAGGCGTGATACGTGTTCAGTTACATATGTGGATATGTTTGCACAGTGTTTCGCAAAACGTGTTGCCCCACTCAAGGCCTCTGATCTAGTCATGATGTCCGTGAGGAAAGCAGGGCAAACTGAACTTTCCCTATTTTGCAGGTAAAGACGCTGAAGTTTATAGTGATTAACGGCCCAGGGAAGGCCCAAGATGAGAATCCATATTCTTTCCACCGGCCTCCTCTCCTTCCTTCAGTATCCTACCCCTTCTAAAACTGAAACAAATGAGTGAGAATGCACAGTAATGTGAAGTACAATTACTCAATAGAATTTCTGTTCATAAACCACAAGAAAGAAATACTATGTACTATATAACAACATCCTGTTTCTATAGAGAAATCCAATGCCTTTTAATATTTGATAACATTAACCTTGGTAACTTCTTGAAACCAATATCTCTTGAATGTATTATTGCTCCCATTTTCAGGTGTAAAAAATGAAAGCAAAGAAAAAATTACTGACGTGCTCAGGATCTCGCAGTCATGACACTGAGTGAAGCAATACAGTTTTATTCAGTGCACTCAGGATGCTGATAAAGTTAGGCTAATCCACAGTTTGGTCTGAGCATGGAGGATTGGAAGTTCCATTGTGTGGTGAGCAAGAGAAGGGAAAAGACATCAGGAAAAGATGAGGGAGGGGAAGACTTGGCACTGGCAGGGCTGGTGGTCCTGAGCCCCAGAGTCGGTGAGGTCCTGGGGGCAGCAAAGCCCTCTGCCTGCAGCAGTGATCTTGATAATGCACCATTGTCCTTGACTTTACTCCTTTCCTGACACCTTCTCCTACTCCCAAGATCACCTCCAAAACAAACCACCAGCACCCCCTATATCTCTGCCATACACCTGCCATTATATCTCCTCCACTGTCCTCTCCACAAGCTCCTCCACCATAACCTCCATTTCCACTTCTACTGCCACCTCCACCATCTCCTCCTCCAACTCCTCCACCATCACCTCCACCAACCATCACCTCAACATCACGTCCACCATCTCCTCCACCATCACCTGCATGATCTGCTTCACCATCTCCTTGACCATCACATCACCATCACCTCCACCATCTCCTCCACCATCACCTCCACCATCACCTCGACATCATGTCCACCATCACGTCCATCATCTCCTCCAACATCACATCCACCATGTCCTCCACCATGTCCTCCACCATCTCCTCCAACTCCTCCACCATCACCTCCACCATCTCCTCCACCATCACCTCCACCATCTCCTCCACCATTTCCACTACCATCACATCCACCATTACGTCCACCATCTCCTTCACCATCACCTCCACCATCACCACCCCCATATCCTGCACCATCACCTCCACCATCACCACCCCCATCTCCTGCACCATCACCTCCACCATCACCACCCCCATCTCCTGCACCATCACCTCCACCATCACCACCACCATCTCCTCCAACATCACGTCCACCATCTCCTCCACCATTACCTTGACATCACATCCACTATCTCCTCCACCATCACCTCGACATCATATCCACCATCACCTCCACCTTTTTCTCTACCATCACCTCCACCATCTCCTCCACCATCACCTCCACCATCTTCTCTACCATCACCTCCACCATCTTCTCTACCATCACCTCCACCATCACCTCTACCATNAGCAGTGCGCCACCGGGCCGGCCCCAACATAGCTACATTTTTATCATGACTATCCACAAATATTTACTACAAATCATCACTAACCACGAATCTACAATCTGTGGCCATCACCTATGCCCAATGGGCGCATGTCTAATAAAGGTAATTTTCTTATATGATTGCAAAGTAGTAAAGATAAAAAAAAATTTTAACATGGGTTTAAATATAGGGCTCCACTTCAGACATGCATGTTAGCAATACAGGCGTGATACGTGTTCAGTTACATATGTGGATATGTTTGCACAGTGTTTCGCAAAACGTGTTGCCCCACTCAAGGCCTCTGATCTAGTCATGATGTCCGTGAGGAAAGCAGGGCAAACTGAACTTTCCCTATTTTGCAGGTAAAGACGCTGAAGTTTATAGTGATTAACGGCCCAGGGAAGGCCCAAGATGAGAATCCATATTCTTTCCACCGGCCTCCTCTCCTTCCTTCAGTATCCTACCCCTTCTAAAACTGAAACAAATGAGTGAGAATGCACAGTAATGTGAAGTACAATTACTCAATAGAATTTCTGTTCATAAACCACAAGAAAGAAATACTATGTACTATATAACAACATCCTGTTTCTATAGAGAAATCCAATGCCTTTTAATATTTGATAACATTAACCTTGGTAACTTCTTGAAACCAATATCTCTTGAATGTATTATTGCTCCCATTTTCAGGTGTAAAAAATGAAAGCAAAGAAAAAATTACTGACGTGCTCAGGATCTCGCAGTCATGACACTGAGTGAAGCAATACAGTTTTATTCAGTGCACTCAGGATGCTGATAAAGTTAGGCTAATCCACAGTTTGGTCTGAGCATGGAGGATTGGAAGTTCCATTGTGTGGTGAGCAAGAGAAGGGAAAAGACATCAGGAAAAGATGAGGGAGGGGAAGACTTGGCACTGGCAGGGCTGGTGGTCCTGAGCCCCAGAGTCGGTGAGGTCCTGGGGGCAGCAAAGCCCTCTGCCTGCAGCAGTGATCTTGATAATGCACCATTGTCCTTGACTTTACTCCTTTCCTGACACCTTCTCCTACTCCCAAGATCACCTCCAAAACAAACCACCAGCACCCCCTATATCTCTGCCATACACCTGCCATTATATCTCCTCCACTGTCCTCTCCACAAGCTCCTCCACCATAACCTCCATTTCCACTTCTACTGCCACCTCCACCATCTCCTCCACCATCACCTCAACATCACGTCCACCATCTCCTCCACCATCACCTGCATGATCTGCTTCACCATCTCCTTGACCATCACATCACCATCACCTCCACCATCTCCTCCACCATCACCTCCACCATCACCTCGACATCATGTCCACCATCACGTCCATCATCTCCTCCAACATCACATCCACCATGTCCTCCACCATGTCCTCCACCATCTCCTCCAACTCCTCCACCATCACCTCCACCATCTCCTCCACCATCACCTCCGCCATCTCCTCCACCATCACGTCCACCATCTCCTCCATCATCACATCCACCATGTCCTCCACCACGTCCTCCACCATCACCTCCACCATCTCCTCCAACTCCTCCACCATCACCTCCACCATCTCCTTCACCATCACCTCCACCATCTCCTCCACCATCACCTCCACCATCTCCTCCACCATCACCTCCACCATCTCCTCCACCATCACCTCCACCATCTCCTCCACCATCACCTCCACCATCTCCTCCACCATCACCTCCACCATCTCCTCCACCATCACCTCCACCATCTCCTCCACCATCACCTCCACCATCTCCTCCACCATCACCTCCACCATCTCCTCCACCATCACCTCCACCATCTCCTCCACCATCACCTCCACCATCTCCTCCACCATCACCTCCACCATCTCCTCCACCATCACCTCCACCATCTCCTCCACCATCACCTCCACCATCTCCTCCACCATCACCTCCACCATCTCCTCCACCATCACCTCCACCATCTCCTCCACCATCACCTCCACCATCTCCTCCACCATCACCTCCACCATCTCCTCCACCATCACCTCCACCATCTCCTCCACCATCACCTCCACCATCTCCTCCACCATCACCTCCACCATCTCCTCCACCATCACCTCCACCATCTCCTCCACCATCACCTCCACCATCTCCTCCACCATCACCTCCACCATCTCCTCCACCATCACCTCCACCATCTCCTCCAACTCCTCCACCATCACCTCCACCATCTCCTTCACCATCACCTCCACCATCACCACCCCCATCTCCTGCACCATCACCTCCACCATCACCACCACCATCTCCTCCAACATCACGTCCACCATCTCCTCCACCATTACCTTGACATCACATCCACTATCTCCTCCACCATCACCTCGACATCATATCCACCATCACCTCCACCTTTTTCTCTACCATCACCTCCACCATCTCCTCCACCATCACCTCCACCATCTTCTCTACCATCACCTCCACCATCTTCTCTACCATCACCTCCACCATCACCTCTACCATCTCTTCCTTCATCTCCTGCACCATCTCTTCCACCATCATCTCTCACTTCCACCATCCTCTCCACCACCAACTCCACTATCTCCATCATCTCTTCCACCATTACCTCCACCGTCATTGCATAAGGTCACTCAGTGATGGCGATGGCAGAGTTGGAATTAGGACCCCAGGCTTCTCCTCTTACAGCTCTTTTATAGTAACAGGAAATAGGCTGTTATTGCTGCTTACTAGTGGTTGGATTATAATTTACTATATGATTAGAGAAAAATTTAGTGATGTGAACTAAGAAAGGCTAACAGTCTGATGGTCAGAAGAAATACTGCTGGTCCCAAAGAGTGCAGACTGCTGACAAGCCCAAATTCAAAGTACTTTAAAATAACAGAAACACACCTCTGTTCCAGAGGTCTCCTTGATCAATCTGTGAACATTCAGAGCAATCATTCTGCAATATCACTGAAAGGGTGATGGTTAATTTTATGTGACAACTTGGTTAGGCTATGGTCCCCGGTTGTTTGGTCAAATGCCAGCCTAGATGTTGTTGTGAAGGTATTTTTTAGATGTGATTAACATTTAATTTAGTAGACTTTGAGTAAAGCAGATGCTTCTCCATAATGTGGGTGAGTCTCGTCCAATCAGTTGAAGGCCTTACTAGAGAAAAGACGGAGCTCCCTTAAGGAAGAGCAGTCCTGCCTCCGCACAGCCTTTGAGTCAAACTGCAGCATCAGCTCCTGCCTGGGTCTCCAGCCTGCCCCGAGGACTTCAGACTTTCCAGTCCTCATAATCACAGGAGCCAATTCCTTAAAACTTAATCTCTCTCTCTATATATACATCTTTTATTGGTTCTGTTTCTCTGGAGAACTCTGACTAATACACTAAGACAGTTGAAAATGTGAACATGGTATAAAATATTTTTACAAATAATTTCTTTTAGCTGAGAGGCTTAAAAATCTATGAGGAAAAAATACTTATTTTATTTATATAAAAGGTATCCCCCAGCTTCCTCACAAATAATATGGTTATTGTAAATCTCCACACTTAAGAAGTAAGAATTTTGGGAAATGTGCTCACTTTTGCTGCGTCAGATATAGAATCCCAGTTTCCCCCTGAAAGGGCGTATTTCCCACTGCCAATCCTTGCCAGAATCTCCTCGGGAGTATCGTCTGGTCCGTTTGCAAAAGGGGTAAATCTGTGTAATAAGAGCATTTATGATAATCAGCTTCCATTTTATAATATAAAATAAAGTTTACAACTTGATAATGCCACTTTGTTGCTAAAGAAAATAGCTATTTTCTTTCCCCTGACAGGCTCTAAATCTAGGATTCATGGAAAAGCACGATTTATCTTCCTAATGCTATTGTCCTCACTTGGTCAATACTAGAGGCTGATGAGGAAGGTGAAGACAGCCAAGTTTATCCTTTCTAGACCCTTTCTAGCCACACTGATGAGAGGGCGGAACACTGGTTTGTTTGCCTGGGGATTTGGTTTCCATGGTAATAGCATGGTATCATGGACGAGAGCCTTAGATTTGAAGTCTAAGAGACCCACGCTTGATCTGTTACCAATTCCAGGTTCTTTGACAAATTAATCTTCTGGACCTCAATTGCAAAATGCGTAGAATAATATACTCCCAGGAATCTGTAATGTTCTATGCATGAACACACGTACAATTCCAGGTACAGCACTTGCCATGATCTAAGTGTGTAATTGAGGCTCATTCCATCGCCTGTTAACATACACCAGGGCATGTGTGTTCCCAAGAACAGAGTAATATGTGATTCTAACAGCATTTCCTTTAGTGGCAAAGCTTGTGATCCGAGTTTTATGTTCAGGCAAAGCGAGGATCAGAAGAATCGCAAGATAACCTAACAACGTGGTATCAGGAAGAATCTGCAGCTCCTTCCTTCGCTGCCGCAGTCCTCAGAGCACAGCTCCCGCTGCCTGAACTGCTGTCCTTGCGCTGTGGGCACCAACTACTGATTTATTATGAAATACCAAAAACAAGGACATTGTCATTTATTCCCATGAGGGCATTTTGACCATTTTGCTACAGCAAACCGGACGGGATGGTCTAAGGTCCTTTTTTAAAACCTTTTTTTTTTAACCTCCACTGGAGTATTTAAAAACTTAAAAACATTAGTAACCAGCAGATCTGTGGGATTCCAGCCTTTCCTGGCTAGAAGGAGCCAGTGGTGGCCTCTTCCCGTGCACAGACCAAGGAAGTGAGGCCTATTCAGGTGAAACTGGCAGGATTCAGAGCTAGTGCAGGGGGCAGCTTGGGTGGAAACGAGGCATGTAGCGAGACTCAGGCCTCCTGTAACACCACGTGCCTCCAAACAGTGAACCGGCCCAAGCACGTCTCACGGCCACAGAGGCTGGGTACAGAGCCACTAACTGGTGGTCATCTTCAAAGATGCCATCTGACCCTGAAGCTTCTACAGTGCTTCTTGATTCAAGAGGAAGTTTTGAAGGCACAGGTGTTGCTACCTTTGCAGAGAGTGGCAGGGTGCAGTGAAGAGGATGTGGGCTGTACGGGCACAACGCTGGGATATTCTGTTCATGAGCTGAGTTTAAAAAAAAAAAAATGCATGGCTACATTTCTTATACTTATTCTTTACTTGTCCCGAAAGGCTGAAGGAAGTCTGAGAGAGCTCCCTCAAAGCCCGGAGCATATGCACATGTGCTGCCCACACTCGTACGCCAGGGAGAGCCCGAGCCCGGCCCATAATGGACCAGCCGCTGAGGCTTCTGCCTCCTGCCATCTTTGGCTACACGCTGTCTGCTAGTGACACCTATTTGAGGCTCTCCGTACCCTGCCAGCATGGTGTACAGCAGGATCCCCAGACTCCAGATGTCACACGCCGCATCATAGCCCTGCCGCTTCAGGACCTGGGGGGACAACAGATGGCAGGTGAGTACCTCGCTAAGAAAATTCAAGCGCACAGCATGTTTGTTCAGTGGACCGTCAGGCGGAGGGGGCGTGGGGAACAACAGGAGGACAGCGCGGTGCCTTCAGTGAGCCCACTGTCTCTAATGCTGAGCTAACCCCAATGTGTGGCAGTGGGACCCCTCGCAGACCAGCCCCCATGGGGAGCTTCAGCTCTTGGCGGGTACATGACAGAGTCGTGGGGAACAACAGGAGGACAGCGCGGTGCCTTCAGTGAGCCCACTGTCTCTAATGCTGAGCTAACCCCAATGTGTGGCAGCGGGACCCCTCGCAGACCAGCCCCCATGGGGAGCTTCAGCTCTTGGCGGGTACATGACAGAGTGAAAAGGAGGCATTTAACTTTCAAGGCAGAAGAATATGTTTTTTTTAATTATGATAAAAATAACAAAACATTTACCATCTTAACCATTTGTAAGTGTACAGTTCAGTGGAATTAAGTACATTCACACTGTGATGTAGCCACCACCACCATCCGTCTCCATACTTTTTTAACTTCCCCTACTGAAACCCTGTTCCCATCAAACCCTAACTCCCCATTCCCCATCTCTCTAGCCACTGGCACCCACTGTTCCACTATCCGTCTCTATGAACTGGACCATTCTAGGTACTGTGCATAAGTGCAATCACAGAGTACTGGTCTTTTTGTGACTAGCTTATTTCACTTAGCATAGCATCCTCAAGATTCATCCATGTTGTAGCGTGTGTCAGAATCTCTTTCCTTTTCAAAGCTAAATAATACTTTATTGTATGCGTAGACACATTGCGTTTATGCATTCATCCACTGATGGACACCTGGTTGCTTCCACCTGTTGGCTGTTGTGAAATATGTTGCTGCGAACATGGGTGTACAAGCGTCTGAGTCCTCTTCTCTAATTCTCTTGGGTAAATAACCAGAACTGAAATTGCTGGGTCACAGAGTAATTCTGTGTTTAATGTTTTGAGGAATTGTTAAAGCAAAAATATTTTATTATATTATAGTATAATTTATTTTATATTTTAATTCTGCATTCTAGAATTACTTCAAAAGAGGGCAATCCTCTGATATATTAATAGTTGAATAATAAAGAAAGCAGCATAACACTTGTGGATTATTGTAGATTACTGGAGGTAGCATTAAATGTGGAGTCAGGAGAGCTGTGTTCTATTTCCTCAGAGACACGAGCCCGGATCCTGTCTCTCCACCTTGCATCTCTGCCTCTGTGTGCTGGGCCTGCAGCACGGTGGCTGTCCCACCAGCACAGGCTGGACACACCGAGTGCTCACTGCTCAGGCCCCAGCCTCACAGCTCATCAGCCGAGTGCTCTTCAAGTGTCAGGTCAGCACACCGAGCTTGTTTTTTCTGAGTGTATGAAACATGGTGGAGAGTACGACGCCTGTCCACGTTGTATGGTGTACGAGAGTAAAAGTAAAAAATATTGGTAAGAGTGCTGTGTAAGTGGTAAAGTAATATAACATCACAAGGCATCTATCATCACAAAAATTAATACTGTAGGAGACCAGGCCCAGAAAATGAAGACTTGTTGAGCTGAAGGCAAACAAGAAGCGGGTGCAGGAAGCTCCCTGCCTCCCCCATCTGCCTAAAATCAGGACACAGATTCCCAAAGGCAAAAGACACCCCCCTGCCCCTCTCTGCCAGGGAGAACAAAGGGTAACCACTGAGGACAACTGTGGATGCTCGTGGGCCTGGGGACGGCCCCAGAGCAACCTACATGAGCAAGCTGCACTGGCCAGCCTCTCTCTGCCAGCTGTTCTCCTTTCCACGTGTCACTGCCCCTAGGGACTCAAAGTCCTTTCCTTTGTCCTGTCCCTCCTCTAACCCTTTACTGTTCTCTGTTGAAGACACTGTAGAAGCTGGAACTCAAAGCCACCTTTTGAGAACTAATACCTAGGTGTCTTCCATGTACATATGTGAAATATGCATGTTAATAAACTTCTGTTTGTTTTTCTCTTGTTAATCTGTCTTTTGTTACAGGGTCAGTTCCAACAAAGAACCTATGAGTGTTGAGAAAAAAATTATCTTTCTCCCCTACAATTCTATTAATTGTATCAATATTAACATCGATATTAATTAATATTAAATATCGATATTAATATTAATATCGATTGGGTAAGCCATTAACAGAGGCTCATAACCAGGGCTGCAGGCTGCTAAAGCATCTGGACAACCCCTGCCCAATCTGATACTGGCCTCTCAGCCCCCTCCCTCTGCTGCGTGTCCATCCATGTATCAGCCCCGTGCCCAGATGCATCTTCAGTGTAGACCACTGGCCGGCCGTGGGTTACCTCCCAAACAGCTCCTAGACCGACCACTAGGTGCCAGGCATGCCTTTCTCTCAGGGCCTGCGTGCTCGCCTGCAGCTCTGATGCAGTTTCATCCATGACCAGGAGACACACAGAATCTAGTCTGTTTTCATTCCCGATCCTCTCCTCCCCACCCTAGCAGCAATATCAGTCCCTACTGTTTTATTCCTCTATCCACCATCAGCTCGTGTTTGGTTGCTTTTTTAAAAAGCAGGAAACTGGATTTATCTTTATAAACACACCAATGACTTCAGAACCAAATGGAAATCATCCCTAGCAAACATGAAAAGGGGGACGTTCCCAAGATGCCCTTGCTGGGGCTCTTTGAGATGCAGGGTGGGTGGCAGTCAGAGCCCTTGGGATTTACACGGGCGTTCAGCTGCAGATTACTACGGAACCCTAATATTCTCAAGTGTGATAGCTGCCAACTTGCTTCTGCCAGGGAAAACGGTCTGGAGCAGGAATTATGGTGCAAAGCAAATCCATAGATGTTTGTCTCTTCCTGTGCTATGACAGGGGGATTTCTGATCACTGATGACCTGCCGGCTCGTTGACCTGGTGGTATAGAGACTGACGGCCTTTCTTATCATTCTAACCTGTGACAGATATGCAGACTTGATCCAAACTGTCTACAGCATGCTGACAATTTTACATGGGAATGTTACCATGTAAAAGTTTTTTCAAATAGGAAAATAAAGTGATAAAACAACTGAGCAAGATGGTGGCTGATGGAAAGCAGAGGAAAGGTTCTCATTCCCATTCCCTAACACCACTGCTAACGTGCCAAACTGTCCAGCTACTCTGAAAGGAGGAGGAGGCAGGGCGGTCTCTCTGAGGGGCTCACAGGCCTGTCCTCCCGCAGTCCCGGTGATCTCACCTCGGGGGCCACAAAGTTTGCGGTGTAGCAGGGCGTCATCAGCAGCCCGTTCTCCGCTCGCAGCTGCTTGGCAAACCCGAAGTCACAGATGCGGATGGATTCCGGGTTTCCAGACTCGTCCATGTACAGAATATTACTCGGCTTCAGGTCTCGATGAACAACCTGGAAGGCAGGAAGCACTACACATCACTGCGGCCACGGGCCGAGCGGGGACGGGACGAGGGACGCGCTCGGAAGTGGAGCATTTATTCTGCAGTGTTTACTCCAGGCAGGTCCTGCAGCAGGAGGCAAGTCAGCCGTAGGACACGGACGCTGAGTCTTTGGCGGGGCCCCACCTCCCTTCTCTCTTCCTCTCACGTTGGTCACTCAAGTCCGAGCACCTGGAAGCTTTGAGTGAGTAAGTAAACACATGCCTGTCTGAGATGAGGCAACAGCCCGGACGCTGAGTCTTTGGCGGGGCCCCACCTCCCTTCTCTCCTCCTCTCACGTTGGTCACTCAAGTCTGAGCACCTGGAAGCTTTGAGTGAGTAAGTAAACACATGCCTGTCTGAGATGAGGCAACAGCCAGTTGGAGCTGTCACATAAGAGGAAATGTCATGGTGAGTTCAGGTAACGGGAATAAAAAGGGTTTTGGAGATTATATTCATCAGTAAGTATTTACCGCATGCCTGGCACTGTCAGGTGCTGGGATGCACCGACCAGGCACCTGCTGTCCCAGGGCACGGGCTGGTGGAGGAAGCAGACAGGAATCAACAACAGCACAGACACTGCACTTGCACCTGTGCCAAGTGAGGTGCAGCGCTCTGGGCACATCCCATGGGAATGGCGACACCTCAAAACAAAGCAGCAGATATTTAGGGCACAAAGTGATGTCTTCTGAGGGGACAGAGGACTGTTGTGAGGACATGTGGGGTGCCTTGGTACAGCTCGGAATCTGAATGTCTTGATTGTCCTGTTAAAGTCCATTGAGGATGTAAGAGGGACGTTAAAGGGACCCACTGCAGCAATCAGGCTTGGTTTACTGAGGTCTCAATGGCAAGGAACAGAAACGTTTTGGTTTCAGTTCCATGACCTCCCTCATTAAATAGAAGCAAACCCGCAGGAAACATCATCCTCAGGGCTCCTCTAGGGCTTGGCTGCTTGGGGAAAGCCTGGAAAATCTCAACACCCCAGAGCACCAGGCGACCACAAGGAGCGACCTGCTCTGTGGTCCTGGGACAACAGTCTCCCGTTCAGAGATGACTACACCGTACAAGCTTACAGCCACGCACACAGCTGGCCACGGCAGCACGGGCTGCTCCCTGAGTGCAGAGGAGAGGCGGAGCGCAGGAGAAAAGCGAAGCACTTGCAACAGCGACTGCAACATGGCGAGGGCTATGTGGGCCTCAGCTGTCACCGCCACTTCTGTCCTCCTGTTCTGTCCTTCTGCATCATTCCTTTGCATCAGTTAGAGTCCAATTTTACATACTATAAGTAATGAAAATTCCAAATTTCCCTTTATCAAGGCTGAAGCATTTTTTTGCTAAAATTGATCCAGGTAAATTTAATTTTTTGACCCAGCTCTTCGACTCACTATGTGTACAAATAATTTTAGATGTTTGAATAATGTGTCATCTCAAAATATGCTGCTTTGGCATATCGGTTACTCTGAGCTCAAGACTACCAAAGAGAAGTAGGTATAAGAAAAGCTCCCTCTTTGCCTAAAAGCAGGACATCAGTTGGTACAGGTTTCCTCCTCCCTGCCCTACCAGGAAGGACAGAAGTTAGTCACCAGGGACAGCTCTAGACCTTGCAGCCTGAGATGGCACCAGAAGACTCGGTATGACAAACTCCACTAACCCTCATCTTTGCCGTTTGCTGCCCTAGACTCTCAATGTCCCTCTCCTTTCCCTTGTCACTTCTCCACTAATTTCTGCTTTTTTGTGAAGACGTGACATAATCCCGAGTTCTAACCCCTTTTTTGAGTTACTCATCAGTGTGCTCCTGGGTGCGTTTGTGATGCTCGTGTTGATGAACTTCTGTTTGTTTTCTCCTGTTAATCTGTCATTGGTCAGTCTAGTTTACAGGGCCTCAGCCAATGAACCTGGGACGAGGACAGGGAAGAGAACATCGCCCTGCAGCCTCACTGAGGCACAGACACAGAGGGACGACTGTGGTCTGGAAGGAATTCAAGGGCCAGCTGAGTTCCCAGCTCTCGGGCCATCCTCTCGTCAGTGATTTCAGCCCCCCATCCCGAAGCGACCCCGTCCGAGTGCGCCCTACCCCCTGGGAGTGGAGGTAGTCCATGGTCTTGGTGATGGTGCACAGCACGTCGCTCGCCTCGCGCTCCGAGAAGTAGCGCTGCCGGAGGATGCGGTCCAGGAGCTCGCCGCCACGCATCAGCTCCATGACCAGGTACACGAACTTGCCGTCGTCGTAGACCTGCAAGGACACAGACCTCAGAGACTGTGCACGCCACCATGCTGCCCTCCTCATGGCCACTGGGTGTGGTGAGAGCGAGGGCTCCAGCAGGGGCAGAAGGCAGAGGTCGGCAGGGAGTGGCTGGGATCCTGGTGTCCCCTGGGAGGAAAAACAAGACTTCTGCAGAAAACAGCTTTAGCAACCTGCTGCTACACAGGGAATGAGAGAGCCAGGCCCGGAGAGCTCCTGACGGGATGTAGGAGTTTTTAGCTGAAATGGATCCTCTCATGGTACTGCTCTGCCTCTCTGACGTAGAGCTATTTAGATATTAAGAAATGGGAATGTTGGCACAGCACCATGCCAAGGCAATTCCCTGGGGCCAGTGCGTTCCAAACTTTACCATGCATACAATCTGGGGGGGATTGTAAAAACACATCTAGCTCTGTGGGTCTGTGTGGAACCAGGTGATATCCGGGCTGGGCTCCACAACAGGTGGTGCGGGCAGCGTCCAGAGCTAATTCACCGTCCAGAGCTAATTCACCACATCAAAGCAGTGCCTTTATCTCAGAGGAGCAACAGGAAAAGATAGCTTTCGTCCATGCCAGCTTTAATCTCTGGCTCTGGCCATTTTTACACCAAACATGGCTTGCCGGTGACCATGCCCGTGGGGACCCAGGGCTGCCCAAGCTTTGAGAAGCAGGTGATGCAAAATGGAGTGAAGGACCCACATGTGATTATGTCCTGGCTCAAATCATCTTCCATTAGTGAATGTTCAGAGCAAATTACTAAAATAATTTGCCTGACTTTGAACTTAATAAAAGACGTAAAAGTTAACTTTGGTGTATTTATTTCTGGGTTTGTGAACACAAATACTCTACTTTTGGAAATGTAAACAGATGACATCATTGACTTGGAACCACTTATCCCAAATGTCATAACAGTGGTTGGAAATGCTTAGGGAGTTTCTGCATTAGTTGACTTCTGTTTGTGAATCTTCACATGCAAATGAGTGACAGAACGGCAAGAGCAGTGGACTTGGGAAGTAGAGGTGACCGCAGCCCAACACGAGCCCAGTGGCTCTGGACACGAGGCACCTGCCCTGCTTGTCCTCGGGACTGAACTGACACCTGAAGGCCTCTTGCTCCAGGAATCACCAGGCCCGGAGAGAAACTGAAGTGGCCCCTGTGTCTTGGGGCTCTGGTTCATGACGCTGGGATCATTTTGGGGTCTGAGAGTGAGGGGGGAAGAAGAAGAAAACTGTCTCCTCTCTCCCCTCCCCAGCCCCGATCCCTGTCCCTGTAGGCCTTTATGGGGTGCTGTGGGTCTACCCCACCGGCTCGATGCAGCTGGTCCTGCTCTCTCCTCCTGCTCCGGGAAGAGGACCAGTGGCCACCAGCAGAGAACAGAGGAGAAGCTGCACGAGCTCCACAGCCAGGGCTCCACGTGGAGGGTCGGGGGATGCGACCCACCGCATCTCACCGGTTCCTTCCTCTCCTTTTCTGTTCTGTTTAAGAATGACAACGGAAATCAACACGTCTGAATTATAATTCATACACGTTATCTTTTCCTCTCTTATGTGACTTGGGGCAGTGGTGCAGGGCGGGGATCTGAGTAAATGGTCCAGTGAGTCAGGTTAACCAGCTGCCAACTGGAGGCGACTCAGAGGCACGTGCGGTAGAGACTGGCACAAGCATGCGCTCTCGGCGCCATGGACAGTGTTGGAATGTGCAGAACGAATGCACTGGATAAACAGTGGACATAAAGGTGGAGTGACAGACATCATTGCCCCATGAGGCCACTTACGTCTTTGAGGGTGATGATGTTTGGGTGCTGGCCGTACCGCAGCAGGATCTCGATCTCTTCTGAGGGGTCTCTTTTACTCTTATCGATGATCTGGAACACACACAGCGTGCAACAATGAAAGGCTTGCTTTTGGGCGTTCAGATGGGGCTGTGAGTTTGGGTCCTTCGGACTGGTTAGGATAGAGTCTGGTCTCACCCCCTCCGCCTCCAGCCTCATTCTCAACCAGGACAGCCTGAAACTGCCTGGCAAGTCATGGCCAGTCCTTTCTTTCCCAACTAGCATAAGATTAACATTTACGAAAGAGAAGCACAAGACTTTAGACACCAATTTTGACACGATAAGGTCGGTGCAGGATGGGTTTGTGGAGCATGTGGCCACCCCCAAACACCAGGATGTGTGCTTCGACCACCTGGGCGGGCTCTGGGCTGGCGGCCAGGCTCTCACTTCACCCGTCCATAGCGAGCCTCCAGCCACCGAGCACCTCTTGCCTCGTTCCATGGGCCCCGTACCAGCAACAAAATGAGGTGATGTGCACGGCTCGGCCTGTAGACGCTGGGGTGGAGCTGGGCTGGGTGTGCACCGTGCCTCAGACACACGGACGCTCCTCCTTGTTTCTATGTTCCCTCCACCACCCACATTTCATCACCGCCTTAGGACAACAGATGCGACTGTTGTCTGGGTGTGCACCGTGCCTCAGACACACGGACGCTCCTCCTTGCTTCTATGTTCCCTCCACCACCCACATTTCATCACCGCCTTAGGACAACAGATGCGACTGTTGTCACCATCTGGAGAACGTGTAGTCATTTTGCTATTACAGCATGAGGACGATCTGCTTTTAATTTCTATCGTGTCAAAGACTCTAAGTGGAGCCTCACATCCAACTCCGCTTCTCTCACTTAGATGAGCGGGATGCTGGGGCAGCATCTGACTCACAGCCCCTAGTCACCGCCCCCCGCTGTAAAAATCACCCCCGTGCCAGTTCTTTTTGTTCTGCCCGAACCACTGCCCAGCTCTGGCCATGGCAGTGCCCTGTGATCACGAGTCCGAATGACGTGCTGTTAAACGGGTGAAAAGGTTGGTCTTCCCTTCTTGACACAGCATTTCTCTCTTGCTACACTTAATTTCACTAAAGTTTTAGCTAGGGCACTAGGATTACTTCTGTTACTGATATAAGCCAACGAATAACACAGCGTTCTCACGTAGAAATGCTTATAAAGGATCAATCAATGGGGAGGGGGGTCCTTAACATGCTGAACCCTAACTGTGGGCTGTGAGGCTCCTCCAGATGGTCTCCCACGGGGCGCCGACCAGGTAGGTTTGGGAGCTCCCTGAGGGGCCTTGCATCTCTCTGGGCTGGGGTCTTCTCTTTGCAAACTGTGAAGGTTGAGATACATGCATGGAATTAAAAAAACTAAGTACTAGATCCATTTTTTCCCCAATACAATTTCATGATAAAAGTGATGATGTGCTCTTTTCATAAATCTGTTTTAGCACCCTCACAGTGGAACAGGATACAGAATAGATATCGAAGAGGAAGCCTCTTCTCTACTGCCAGGGACGACCTTCAGAACACACGAGGTGGAAATGCAGGACAGGCAGGTGCATTCCTATGCTACACTTGTTAAAATGGGGAGAGAATGTAAATAGACACACATTTCCTCGTGATGCATAAAATAACTCCGCAAGGAAAGAGAAAAAATGAGTGACTTTGGCTTCCTGTGGTGAGGGGAGCTAGGAGTCTGGGGCCGTGGGTGGAAGACCTGGCTGTGTCATCATGTGTATTTTTAATATTTTGAACCATGTGAATATATTATCTATTCAAAAAATTAGATAAAAAATTTCAAAATATATTTTATAAGCTAAAATATGAGAACAATGTGACTGTTATAAAAAAATCTGAGATTATGAATGATTGAATTATCTGTTAGCCCTGGTATCTATTTTATTTCTGTATGTTCTTTTGTTGCAAGTCTTAAGAAAAATTCAGATTTATGGTGATAGGTATTTGCAAACAATCCATTTTTAAAGAGTTTACCTTAAAATCTTGCTTATTTTTGAAAAATATTTTAAGACTGTAACTAAAAGTCAACACGCAGCTGCTAAGGTGAGGCACACTAAATTTTAACACTGGAACCACTATCCTGTTTCGTTTTGGCAGCTGGCCTGTGCGGGGATCTGAACCCCTGACCTTGGTGTTATAAGGCTGTGCACTAACCGACTGAGCTAACGGGCCAGCCCTACGTCCTGTTAATTTGTTATAATGTGATACACATTTGAGCATGCATGTTGATTTTTATTACGTTTTAAAAATAATATTTAAACTGTTTTTAATCACTTAGTTGCTTGGCTGAATTCCCAGAGCACCTCTACCAGCAATTGAACACCACGAACCAGCTGTTCTCTAAGGCAGCGTTTGGGGGAAGTGAAGGAGAAATAAAAGGTGCTGGGCCCAGGTCCCACGGGGGATGAGCGACATCTGGAGACTTGATGGTCCAAACAGTTCCACTGTTTCCTTTTGGAAGCAAAAGACGCCGAGGGGAGGAGGGTTTGCAGTTCCAGGTGAGACCACCCCCGTCCAGGGCCGGCAGGGTAGGAAGCAACCTGCTCCTCTGGGAAGCCACGGGGACCCATGGGTCGGCGGCTGAGCCCTGGTGGCTTCTCATCCTCGCTCCAAGGCGTCTCCCAGCCACCTGAGCCCTCCACGCCTCGGTTTCTCCATCTGTAAGAACTGGGATAACAGCAAGCATCTGCCCTGCCATGTTAAGATTGAGCAAATTAACACGTATCAGTCTCTGAGGACCTCGCCGGTACACCCGACACAAGTGAGCTGTTCTTATTACAGTGGAAAATATAATTATCCTAATGGCCCCAGTAAGGGAGCACGTGGCTGTGACCTGCCTCAGTTACTGCCCTGAAACGTCACTTTGAATTCTCATTTCTGAGTCTTCCCTTCAAGTCAATGCCATGGATTAGTGCAATGTTCAAAAACAATGTCAGGAGTAGAAGGCGTTTCAGTTAAAGGCCCCGGCTAAAAACCAGATGTCACTACACACTGGGTAATCTGAAGCGGGTTGAATAAGGGATGGTTTGCAAAAGTGCAGCTGGCATCTAGGAGAACCCACAAGGCTCACGCAGTGCCTTGGGGTGGGCAGCCGTGAGGCCCAAAGGGGCCTGAGGGGCAGTCACAGGACCAGCGGGGGCTGCATGGGTGGGGGCATCCTGACAGCAGCTGGGTGTCTTAATAGAGGGTTGCTAGGGGGTATGGGGACAGAAAGTCCTCAGCTCCATGTCCTCTTCACCCCCTCCCTCCTGTGGTGTCTGTCTCCTATTGGCAGAACTGCCCAGAAGCCCAGGCAAGGCCAGAGCCCCGTGATGTGGCCCCTAACCAGAGGGAAGTAAGCAGGGTGGGCTTGCAGGAGATAGGGAGATTCCCAGCCCAGAAGGGATGCCCACGGCACAGTGGTGGCAGTAATAGGTGTGACACCGCCCTCCTGGCTTCCGCTTCCCCCAACCTGGGCAGTCATCTCGAGTCTACCCTGACACGGATGTGCTCGGAACCAGGGTTTCGATCCTGGATATCGTCAGGAAGTGATGGCTGCTTTTATCTGCAAACCTGTTCCTGGAAGGTTTTTCTGCTTTTGTTTTTATTTTTATTTTTGCAGGGAGGGCAAGCTGCTTGAGAAAGATGAGGGAGAAGAGTGCTCACCAAAAAGTGAGCCGAGAGGTGTGGCCACTGGCTCACTGTGCAGCCGCCAGCCCGGGAGAGGGTTCTGAGTGTACTGTTTAGAAACGTCAAGGAATGAGTTCTCAGGTGACTAGCAGTGACTTTCTTCTCTATGGGGTCGGTTTCTTGGGACCAGTGTCATTGGACTTGCTTCTCATTAGAACAAGCTCTGGTGGACTGCATCCCTTATTCTGAGAATAATATTGTTTTATAATCTTCATTATGCAACAAAACGGAGGGAAGAATTCTTAGAAGGATGTTTATGGACGAGGCCTTCTCTTTCCCAGTTGAAGATCAAATAACATTGATGAACTGCAGAGAAGGAGCAGCGGGGTCCTCTGGGAGTCAGTCTTTCCCTCTTATTTTTCTTATTTCATCTGGCAACAGCCATGCAGAAAGGTCGCCTACAGAAAAGGACACGAGCCAGTGGCCAGCCACCCACCGCAGCTGGCAAACAGCTTTCATGGTGCGGCTACACGGCAAGGTGCACATTTCCACGCTCCTTAGAGATCCCAAGTCAAGCTGGCTCCAACCACGGTGGCACACAACGGCGGGTCTTCTTCATAGGTGATGCACACAGGCACATGTCAAACACCTTGTTATTCCTGGTGGCTAAAGATGACCACAGACCAGACGCCACCACCGTCGTCCCCTTTTCCTTTGTGGCCTTTGTGTTTCTGTCTTTCTTGCCTTCTCATCTCTCTCCATCCTTGGAGATGTCCCCTTCCGGGACACCGAGTGACTCGAGGCTCTGGGCTGTGAGCGGTGGGGTGAGCTCGTGGGCTCGTGAACCCCCCCCCCCGCAGGCAGGGGGCCGCTGTGACTTGTCAAAAGGATCAATATCGGCGTGAAACGAGGGTACAGGGCATGCGATCACTGGTAAAACGTAACAGACACCTCTCCCGTACAACTAATTTAAATACATGGCAGAGAGAAAGAACTCCAGTATTTTTCCTGGTGGAAAAAATTAAAATTTCCATACCAATCAGTCCTCCTTCTAAAAATAAGCTCTATTTATGCCAAGCATCTGTCTTGGTTCCTTTTCTTTTTCGGTTGACAAATTATAACTAATTTAAATACATGGCAGAGAGAAAGAACTCCAGTATTTTTCCTGGTGGAAAAAATTAAAATTTCCATACCAATCAGTCCTCCTTCTAAGAATAAGCTCTATTTATGCCAAGCATCTGTCTTGGTTCCTTTTCTTTTTCGGTTGACAAATTACACACACAGTATGAAGATGGGCACAGAAGCACTGACGATGTCCTAGACTGTCCGGTGAGAATGCACAGCGGAGCCCTCCTCAGGACAGCTGGCCCGGCCTCGGCCCTGTGCAGAGTGGCCATGCTTCCCCACTGCAATTAAC